AGCTATGGGAAGGGAAAGCACTCAGCCTGCTAACAGGAGTCAGCAGTCGTCTGCTCCTGTACCCACCTGTGTGTAAAACTAGTAGGGTAAGGCTTACCATGAACTATGGGAAGGGAAAGCACTCAGCCAGCTAACAGGAGTCAGCAGTCGTCTGCTCAAGGATATAGGAAAACATCTCCAAGAGGAAGAAAACCCAGCGGGTTTTCTTCCTGTTGGGGAGTGTTGTCAATGCTGCTATGCCGGTATGTTAACTCCCAGGATGAACAACTCAGCGAGTGTTCTTCCCATCTGGAGACGTTGTTCATGTGACCTTAATGGTATGTACAGTAACAGGATGAGTGACTGCCCAATAAAGTAGTCCTCCCCGCCAAACTAGTCAACACTAAAAGCCGCCTCCTGGTCACACTAAGTTTGCTAAGGAACATGCTCCCGTTGATATTAATCTTTTACATACACAAGTGTATGTGTGTATACATTCACAAATGTATGTGTGTATACATATACAAGTGTATGTGTGTATAGTGTTCTCTGTACCGCCTGAGGAAAAGAAATTCTCTGGGCACTTGACTTGACAGTTCCGACCGGGAATGGAAATAGATTGGCTGGTCTTTATAATTATGCATGAATTTCTGTTCCATCTTGGAAAAGAATTTAGCTGGAAAAAGATTATTTTTCGGAGTCTCCTAACCCATTCCCCTATACTTGTCCCCTCACATCTGTGAGGGGACATCTGTTCCCTATACAGCTGTCCACTCACCCATTCATTCGGTACATCTATCCCCCCGATTCTCTAATACACCTGTTTTCTCATATATTCCCCTTCCCCTATCCATTCCCCCTATACATCCGTCCACTCTCCCATTCGTCCTCTCACCTATTCCCCCTATACACCTGTTCCCCCATCATCTATTCCCCCCTATACACCCGTCCACTTTCCCATTCCTCATATACACCTGTCCACTCACCTATTCCCCCCTATCCTAGCCTATTCCATAATCCTCTCACTAATGCCTCATGTGGACCTGTCCCTCACCTATTCCCCATTTGTATATTCAGGAAATTAATTTGATGTTTGGTAATGAATATCGTATTATTTGGCATAGTAGCCACCAAAATTGGCGTTGGGGGTTCAACCCGGCGGTAATAGGCTCTCCCAATTACCTATTCGTCTTCTAAGACTGGTCGGTAGCGCCCCGGACTCGGGCAGTTTGATCTTGACTTGAGTGAACCACTTGGGCTGGACGGTAGAGTGGACCGGTCTTGCTTCATGCTGGTCAGCGTTCAATCCCCGACCGTCCAGAAGTGGTTGGGCACCATTCCTTCTCCCCGTCCCATCCCTAATTATGATCCTGACCCCTTCCCAGTGCTATACATTAGATAATTCTCTTCCCTTTCTTCTAAGTATCTTAGTGAGGATATCTTTCTCTTGTTTTTTTACTCGCGTCCATTGCAATTGCCTAACTATTCTGTGTACTCACCTAATTATACTAACCTAGAAGCGAACCGGGGGTTGAGCTTCTGCTCATCGATACCGGTTCTCAACTGTCAATAAACTGGTGTACAGGTTCCCGAGGCTAATGGATTCTATTGTATTGATGTTTGAAACTGTGTATAGGGGTTAATATGAGCAGCATCCTCACTATTGTGTGTGGCAGTGAATATGAGAAGCATCCTCACTATTGTGTGTGTGGCAGTGAATATGAGCAGCATCCTCACTATTGTGTGTGGCAGTGAATATGAGCAGCATCCTCACTATTGTGTGTGGCAGTGAATATGAGCAGCATCCTCGCTATTGTGTGGCAGTGAATATGAGCAGCATCCTCACTATTGTGTGTGGCAGTGAATATGAGCAGCAACCTCACTATTGTGTGTGTAGCAGTGAATATGAGCAGCATCCTCACTATTGTGTGTGGCAGTGAATATGAGCAGCATCCTCACTATTGTGTGTGGCAGTGAATATGAGCAGCATCCTCGCTATTGTGTGGCAGTGAATATGAGCAGCATCCTCACTATTGTGTGTGGCAGTGAATATGAGCAGCATCCTCGCTATTGTGTGGCAGTGAATATGAGCAGCATCCTCACTATTGTGTGGCAGTGAATATGAGCAGCAACCTCACTATTGTGTGTGTAGCAGTGAATATGAGCAGCATCCTCACTATTGTGTGTGGCAGTGAATATGAGCAGCATCCTCACTATTGTGTGTGGCAGTGAATATGAGCAGCATCCTCGCTATTGTGTGGCAGTGAATATGAGCAGCATCCTCACTATTGTGTGTGGCAGTGAATATGAGCAGCATCCTCACTATTGTGTGTGGCAGTGAATATGAGCAGCATCCTCGCTATTGTGTGTGGCAGTGAATATGAGCAGCATCCTCGCTATTGTGTGTGGCAGTGAAATGAGCAGCAACCTCACTATTATGTGGCAGTGAATATGAGCAGCATCCTCACTATTGTGTGTGGCAGTGAATATGAGCAGCAACCTCACTATTGTGTGTGGCAGTGAATATGAGCAGCATCCTCACTATTGTGTGTGGCAGTGAATATGAGCAGCATCCTCACTATTGTGTGTGGCAGTGAATATGAGCAGCATCCTCACTATTGTGTGTGGCAGTGAATATGAGCAGCATCCTCACTATTGTGTGTGGCAGTGAATATGAGCAGCATCCTCACTATTGTGAGTGGCAGTGAATATGAGCAGCATCCTCACTATAATGTGTGGCCGTGAATATGAGCACCAGTCTCACTGTCCTGTGTGACTGAATATGAACCCCATTGTCACTGTGACATTGAGTATGAGCAGCATTCTCACTATCCTGTTTGACAGTAAATAAAACAAACATTATAACACTTGACACAGTGAATATGAGCAGCATCCTCATTATTCCGGTTAGACAAAATTGTGTGTCAGTAATGCCAATTGTGCCACGAGACTTCAGCTCCAGAATTATGTGAAGTGAGCTGTGATGATTGGATAAATGAGTTAAAACTAATGATATAAGAAGATAAGGGTACAATAGGCTATACAACAGCCCGCAAGATACGGATGGAATAACGTGGATAGACTCGTTTCATGTAAGGGACAGGCGAACGTGGAGAGGGAAGGGAGGGAATTATCAGGGAGAAAGCGCCAGGCCATTCCGACTATATAGCACTGGGAAGGGGTCAGGATAAGGATTTTGGATGGGACGGGGGGGGGGGGAAGGAATGGTACCCAACCATTTGGACGGTCGGGGATTGAACGCCGACCTGCATGAAGCGAGACCGTCGCTCTACCGTCCAGCCCAAGTGGTTGACGCGAACGTGGAGAGAACACAGGTGGTGGCACAGATTATCCTGAGAAATATTTGAATTAGTGACTATTGTTACGTGGACCGCCTAAATACGCTCCTCTGGTCATTCTCCAGCATGTAAACAGCCAAGAAAGCAGCAAGTTGTGTTTAATGTTTAAAGTGAGGCGAAATGCCAAAAATTTGAATTATTTAAGTTTGTAAGATCGTTTGGGAATATGTGAGAGTAATCATTGCAGCAAAATATGGCGACTTAGCTCGGTGGAGGCGACAAATTCCCGCCAAATACACCAGAAGCGGCGACATGGTGTCTCCTGGTTTACGACAATCTGATTGGTCGAGTGCAGTGATGAGCCCAGTTTGACCAATCAGAGAGCGCCCCTGGCGTGACGTAGTGTGACGTCATCGCCGGAGCTGCTTGGCGGGAAACCCGCCTCCTGTCACTAGCCACCTGGGGAAGAACGCGGCGGGTCGCGTCGCACGTCGCTCCCACACACACGTGAGGCGTAACCCGCCAGAAAACACATTACTTAGAGCAGTACTCTGCGGCGTAGAGACGCTACTGGTCAACTTCTAGAGGACGGTTGAGAGAGATGAACCGTGAGAGGTCAGCAGACATCCGTGACGTGGGTACTCGTGTGTGACTATAGAGGCGGTGCTGGGGGATTGAGAGAGGGTCCGCGGGCTGGGCCAGGTTGGAACTGCTAGGAGCGTGAGGTCCTAGCACTCTAGTCCTAGTGTTAGGAGAGTGAGGTCCTAGCACTCCTAGTGCTAGGAGCGTGAGGTCCTAGCACTCCTAGTCCTAGGAGAGTGAGGTCTACCGTGGTTTTACTAAAGAGGAGAGGAACTCTGCCGGAAACACACAAGAGGTCGGTAGAAAGACCATCTACCAACTGCAACAGGCTGCTAGGACTGCAGCTTCTATTCTTCAGTAGTAAGGTAAAATAAATGTCCTCCCCTCCCCACTTCCCTTGTTTGATAGGGAGTGAAAATGATTAATTTCTGTGTTCGCGGAGTGATTTATTGTGGTGCGAGAGAGCCTATATTAAAGACAGCATCAAATAAGTATAAATTCGTGCTGCACCATATTTATATCCAGGTAAATCACGCGTGAGTAATGAAAAGACGAAAACGATTATTATATAAATGAATTGTTAGTAATATTTCTTTGCTGGAAAAGTTTGCTATAAATCAAAGCCTAATGATTAATGTGAGTATCGTAGTGTTGCCATATTGTTATTGATTTACACCGCGGGAGTGTTGCCACATATGACAGTTACTATACTCTCAGCCTTAAGCAAGTGTACTTTTATTTCCCGTAAATTGTTTAAGCTTTTACATTGGGGTTCACTTCACTCCTTCCTTCAGCCTCTATATTGTCTACTCAATAGACACAATAGGTCTGGTTTGCACCACTGAGCATCAGAGAGCGCCAGGCTGGGCCAGAATGGCCACTGTACACACACAAATCACACTAACGTGATGCATCAAATGAACAAATCCACAAGGGCCGTGACGAAGATTCGAACCTGCGTCCGGGAGCATCCCAGACACTGCCTTAATTGACTGAGCTACGACAGGGTTAAAAATCCTCGATTTTCGAGGATTCAGGTTTGAAGCCTCGTCACGGCCCTTGTGGATTTGACCGCTGTAGTGAGAGAAATGATCTGGCCTGAAGGAAACATTAGCCAGATTGGCCTCATAGGATTGCCAATCACATTTTGCCAATCACAATCATAGGATTGCCCGCCACATTTAGTGGCGGGCAAGTCGATCGCCAGGAACCCGGGTTTGTGTCCGCCGGTACATCATTTGGAGACCCGGGAACTGCCGGTTTCCTCACTTCGGGGTTGCACGGCTGGGTGTGGGATTCTGCCCATGAGGAACAGGTGGACAGAGGCACTAGTGAGGGGGGAGTAAAAGATGATTAATAAAGATTAAGTCAGCCAAGAGGTGGTATGGGCATGAATAGCCCGCAAGAGAGTAGGACCCGGTGCCACTATATAGTGCTTCCAGCTTGGTGCATTCTTTTGATATGGGATCGAACCCGTATCTCTGGAATCCTCGAGCACACACACACACACACACTACCGACTGAACCATTATGTGTACGCCTGGGGAGTCCAGGAACGCGGGTTCGATCCCATTGCAAGGCTTCAGCAATTTTCTCCTAGTTGCATCAACTTCTTGAGATTTCATTGTGTAAGGTAATTGTGTCATCTTCTAACATGTGTTGTTCCTTTTTCCAACGTCTCGCTTAATTGTTGACCCTTTCTCTTCCTGGTCCATTTTTTATTGTCCTTATTTTTACATTTGTCTCCAGTTCAGTACAATGGCGAGTATGTAGCCTAGTGCTACGACGAGTATATAACCAAACCTTAACCTAACTAGATCTTAACCTAACTAGACCTTAACCTAACCAGACTTTTACCTAACCAGACTTTTACCTAACCAGACTATTACCTAACTAGACCTTAACCTAACCAAACCAGACTTTAACCTAACCAGACTTTAACCAAACCAGACATTAAACTAACTAGAACGTAACCAAACCTAACCAGACCTTAACCTAACCAGATCTTAATCTGACCAGACCTTAACCAATCTAGACATTAACCTAACCAGACCTTAACATAACCAAATTTTAACCTAACCAGACCTTTACCTAACATGACATTAAGTTCCAAATATGCCAAAAATATGCAATAAATGAAAACTTGTTCGATTTAATTCAAACTTTTTTGACGAGTTGTATATGAAAAGGGTTTCATCTGGTCCAAGTCTCAGCGTTGTAGCATAAATAGGAAGGGAGAAATTTTGTTTGAATTATGTGTCAATTTTACAAAATGGTAAAAAATTAACATCAAACACAAATGTCAACTAAAATCAAGTCTATGACTCTCAGCTATCACAATAGCATATATTAAAAAAATAATAATTAGTTTTATAAATTTATTTTTATAATTTTTTATCGGATGATTTGCATGAAACTTATACACCTGACTGCACGAAAGCCTATCTGTAAGGGTGCCAATTTTGGAGGAAATTGGTTCATGTCAACCTCAGCCACAGATGGCAGCACCTTAGACTAATTTTAATGATTTATTTTTTCAAGTAACATAAACGAGTTGCTACTCTTTCTTTCATTTTTATTCAATTTACATGAAACTTACACCTTATATGTAAAGTTTTTGTCTAAAATCTCATGCCAGCGTTTTTTCTTAAGTTCATTTATTGATTTTATAATAGCAATAAACTTGATATATTTGTATATATATATATATATATATATATATATATATATATATATATTATATATTATATATATATATATATATATATATATATTTATATATATATATATACATATATATATATATATATTTTTATATATATATATATATATATATATATATATATATATATATATATATATATATATATATATATATATATATATATATATATATTTTATTAAATATGACCGAAAAACTAAGATTAATAATTCTAACACGAATTTTCTCAATCTTTCGTACATTACGCTTCACTTCACAAATCACTTCTCTTTTGGAGAAGTGATTTTTGATTTACCTCCAACAGTGAAGCATAATGTACGAAAGATTGAGAAAATTCGTGTTAGAATTATTAATCTTACTTTTTCGGTCATATTTAATAAAATATGTCTACAGGAAAGACTGCTACCAAAATATACTAATATATATATATATATATATTTTGGGGGGGGGGACTTTGACTATTTGTATTAGGAAAACTAAACATGTTTTGGAAAATCCTCGACATCAGATCCTTTATTATATGCTAATGTGTCAGAAAAGTGTCATAGAATGATTGTCTGAAACGTGTGGTTGTAGCAACTCACTGAAAATGTGAAATATTCGTTGAAAAAAAAAATAAATCTCCCTCTCTATTTAGGCTGCAGTACTGAAACTTGGAACACTTGCAGCCCTTTTCATATGCAACTAGTCACAAAAGATTTGTTGTCATTGAACAAAGTTTAAAAAACTAACTAATGCCCCTTAACCGTATCAGACTTTAACCTAACTAGACTTTAACCTAACCAGACTTTAACCTAAATAGACCTTAACCTGACCTTATCCTAACTAGACCTTAACCTAACAAGACCTTTACCTAACCAGACATTAACCTAACCAGACTTTAACCTAACTAGACCTTAACCTAACCAGATCTTAACCTAACTAGACCTTAACCTGACCTTAACCTAAGCAGACCTTAACCTAACAAGACCTTTACCTAACAAGACCTTAACCTAACTGGACATTAACCTAAGCAGACCTTAACCTAACCAGACTTTAATCTAACCAGACCTTAACCTAACAAAACCTTAACCTAACCAGACCTTAACCTAACCAGACCTTAACCTAACCAGACCTTAACCTAACCAGACCATAACCTAACCAGACCATAACCTAACCAGACCTTAACCTTACCAGACCTTAACCTAACCAGACCTTAACCTAACCAGACCTTAACCTAACCAGACCATAACCTAACTAGACCATAACCTAACCAGACCTTAACCTAACCAGACCTTAACCTAACCAGACCTTAACCTAACCAGACCTTAACCTAACCTAATCAAGGATAGGAAGTAGATAATATCATCAAATTCGTAATGGTTCTGCATGATTATATCGAGGGAACATCCTGCCTGAGGACGGCTGATCCTCATTAGTCTGATAAACCGTTCACATTGCGGTGCTTTAAAGTTGATGACAGCAGCGGAATTTTGAAGCTGTGCTTACTTGAACCTGAGCAAGGCCCAGCCCAGGCCTCAGCTGGCTGAGTGGACAACGCTTCGGATTCGTAGTCCTGAGCTTCCGGGTTTGATCTCCGGCGGAGGCGGAAACAAATGGGCAAGGTTTCTTTCACCCTGATAGGCCTGTTCACCTAGAAGTAGATAGGTACCTGGGAGTTAGACAGCTGTTACGGGCTGCTTCCTGGGGGTGTGTAACAAAAAGGAGGCCTGGTCGAGGACCGGGCCGCGGGGACGCTAAGCCCCGAAATCGTCTCAAGATACCCTCAAGATAACCTCAAGATAACCTACCAGTGCTTACCTATCAATAACTCCGGGAAAATGCTGTTTGGATGTTACTTTTCTGCCGGAAACGCTCTGCATACCTGTGATTTTATGTATATTTAATTGTGTAATTAATATAAATATTTATATAATAGAGTTTATTATAAATTATAGTTGTGAATGGAGGTGGAAGGTGCGGGCAGTAGCGTCCATAATTGTACTAGGTGTGGGAACAGGACAACCCGTCCTCCTAATAACACGTCGCATTTTGACGTATACTCTACAAGCCATAAATCGTCGTACTAGAAAATGGCAGCGGCTGGCGAAATTGACATACTGTCCTTCTAACCTGTTTTGGGTCCTCAGCTGGTAGGTTAGGATAAAGGCACTTTAGTACGACAGTTTTTTGACGTTGGGGACACGCTCTCTAACCCGTCATCTTAAACATAAGGTCGCTTTTCTCCCGTATGCGCACTATGGCCAAAAATGGACGTAATTTAAAATGAAATCGGCTCATGAGAGTGATGTACTGTCCCGTTTTCTGTTGTGATTCCCCCGGCTTACTCAGTTAGGTTAGGAGAGGAAACTTTCAATTAACGGTTTTCATGGCGTTTTGAAACTTTAGAAGAACTTCCCGCCCTCCTAACCCACCAGAGGACCCTTAACTTACTGTTTTAGACAATTTATTTATTGAAATTTTCAATTTTTCCTTTTCAAATTACGTGCATTTTCGGCCATACGGGCAAACGGGCAAATTCAGACGTAATTTGTAAGAGGACAGACTGCCAGGGTGGTGTGTTGGGGTTCCAACCCTACAGCAGGAGGATATAAGACAATATCCGGGTGTGGGGGAGGTTGTCCTCTATTGGTAGTGGAGGCCCCGCCCTCCCCCACCCCCTCCCCCTCACCCTCGGAGAGAGAGGTAACGACGATAGTTCACTGATTAAGGCTTTTCTGGTTGGACTTTTTCGTGTCATCAAGGTCTTTGCGTCGAGAGTTGTGGCCTGCACGATGCTGCTGACTTCACCAAAGGAGGAGGAGGAGGAAGGAAGAAAGAGGAAGAAAGAGGAGGAGGAGGAAGGAAGAAGGAGGAGGAGGAGGAAGGAAGAGGAGGAGGAGGAGGAGGAGGAAGGAAGAGGAGGAGGAGGAGGAGGAGGAAGGATGGAAAACAAAACCATTGAGGGAATAGAGAATGGGGGAGGCAGAAAGGCTAAGAGGATGAGAAGGGAAATGAATGAGGAGAAACAATTAGAGAGAGAGCAATAAGCACAGGGCGCAGCGGGGAGTGGACGAGTCTGAGCTGTCTGGATATCTTCTCTTCACCTAGTTGTGCTTGCGGGGGTTGAGCTCTGGCTCATTCGACCCGCCTCTCAACTGTCAATCAATCAAATCCCCCCCCCCCCCAGGAAGCAGCCCGTAACAGCTGTCTAACTCCCAGGTACCTATTTACTGCTAGGTAACAGGGGCATCAGGGTGAAAGAAACTGCCTATTTGTTTCCGCCATCGCCGGGATCGCGGCCCATAGGATTACGAGTCCCAAGCGCTGTCCACTCAGCCACCAGGCCCCTTGTATGAAGGGCGTGCTACCAGATTGCTTGGGTTAGGGCTCACTTTTTATAAGGTTGGGTTGGGTTGATTTCTTACAGGGTTGAGTTGGGGTTTAGGTTACATCAGGTGAGCCTAATAGAGTTCGGTTCCATTTTCCGAGTGTTACCGGGCACATACACTATTAGGTTAGCTAGATTAGGTTAGTTAGGTTAGGTTAGAGTAGGTTGGTTAGGTTAGGTTAGGTTAGGTTAGTTAAGTTAGGTCAGGTTAGGCTCAAGTTAGGCTGTAACTTGAG